GAATGTCGAAACTGAGAAAGTTCGCTCGTAAAAGGGTCGAGTGCTCTTGGCTGAAGCGTCGAGGCGGTGGGTGAGGTCGCGCAAACGGAGCACGAATCGAAATTCCCTACGAGCCGAGGTGGGAGAGAAAAGAAGAAACGGGAGAGACGAGCGATTAGACGGAGATTGGGAAAGTCTTTGTCGTCGAGTGAAACTTTTCCCTTCTTCTTGCCTTTTCTTTTCCTATTAAGTGTACCGTTCGGCGACCATATTTTCTCGCTTGTTAATGACAGTACGCACCTGAAATATGAATCTCAAAACTTGCTTAAGATTACAGTGACAAAGTGTATCGAACAAATGATGAAATGCAAACAGTGTATTATGATGCTGGCTATGAAATTTGTCGATGAGTTAAAATGATACCTAACTTTGGCATTTTTTTTTTTTTGAGGAAGTAATTGACTTAATCGAAAACTTTTCATAAGGGCTTTATTATATCACCCTTGAACAATATAAAAATATTTTTTTCGTTTAATTTCTTGACAAAATGGCGGCGCTAAAGCCATATCACTGAACCTCACGCCCTCATACTGGTGTCTTCTGCTGTCACATGGTTTAATTTACAACAAAATATAACAAATTTTTAAAATAGGCATCTGCGTGCAAATTACTGAAAAAGTTCGTAGGATTTTTTGGGAAATATTAAGTTTCACAGAATTGGGGAGCATATGAAGAAAGAATTGCATTTTTTCCCTAAAATTTTCATCGAAACTATGCGAATTATATTTTTAAAACTATAAACTATCAAACTCGATTTTTTCCTAGCTCAGAGGTGGCCTAACCCCTTTATCTCCAACGAACTTCTCATTTCTTCCGAAATGAAGCAGTGAATTACTCATCGGTACGTCTAATATTTTACTCCCCTAATTTTCCTCACGTTTCTTCGTTCTTTTCATCTCGCTGAATCTCAGATCTCTCCTCGATCTCGCCCTGTTCTTTATTCGTTAAGGTCCTCGCTTCCTGTTTCGTGACAGTTCGTCGAATGTCAAAAGGATAAGGCGTAAAAAAAGAAAAAGGGCTCGAAAGGAGCTCTTCTGATTCATTGGCTAATAGAGAACGTAAAAAGAGCACGGCTCGAGTTTCGATGAGAGACGGCGATAGCGGTGGTGGTCACCCTATCCTATCCAACAGGGAGTAGGATCTGCTAGGCATTTCAGATTGTGCTCTCGATACAATGAATGAGAAAGACCCGACGAAGTGCTCCGAATCCGAGAGCGGGGCTTATAATCGACTTAAGGATTCCAACGGCTGCTCCACTTTCCTAGTATCGACTTGGAGGAAATCTAAAAATGAGCCTTGTGCTCTGCGCTCCTCTCCTCTGTTCGGCTTTTTCGCGAAACGAAATTTATGGAGCCACGGATTCGATACGGGATAACGTGGTAATGGTCCTTCTTAAATTCTTGATGGCGCACGAATTCCAGAGGAGATGGAACCTAAGTACCCCGGAAGCTTTGCTCAGGAACTGTGTTAATTCGTCGATTCGTAGGGAGGTTGCTGGGTCAGGGAAACGTAGGTTCAATATGTAACGTGGTTTGTTCATCATTGGTTGAACAGGGAACGAAATGTTATACTAGGTTCCGTAGTTCAATGGTAATTCCTGTTCATTTCTGAAATAAAACTTCTAAACGTGCTAAGTTAGATGTATGCTTCTATTCGCTATTAACATTGCATTCCACGAAACTGCAAACTATGATCGTTGTACATATTGTTCGTGTATTATGAGACACTGTGTGTATTGTAACAAAGTATTAAGTATGAAACTTTTGTAAATGTTTCACGTGCACTGTCGTTCGCAAGTATGGATTAGAATGAGAACTAAATCAAAACAGTCATTGCAAAATTATTGAGAATGATAAAAAATTATTCAGGTTGCAATCTCGTAGTTTAAACTACCAGCCAAAAGTTTGAAATCACTGTGCATTGCAATTTACACAAAAATTTCCAGAAAGAATTCAGTAGCTTTTGGAATTTTTTATCACTCAAATCAATCGATATGAGATAAATTAATGAACGTAGAGTTGAGATAAACTTCAAGTCTATAAAATATTAGTAGCAGATTCAGTATTGCTGAAAACTGGGAGATGATTCCAAACTTTTGGCCGGTAGTGTAAGTACATTGCTATTACCGGCCAAAATTTTGGAACCGTTTATTAATCTACTCCAATCTGCTACCAATAGTATCGATGAAAACTGGGAGATGATTCCAAACTTTTGGCCGGTAGTGTAAGTACATTGCTATTACCGGCCAAAATTTTGGAACCGTTTATTAATCTACTCCAATCTGCTACCAATTTTTTATCGATTTGCAATAAATGGCGCAGTTATCAATAGCAATTTCCTTCTACTTGGTAAATTTAGGTAATAAAAAATTCATCGAGAGTTTCTTAAATTCCTGACTTTATTCTGAAAATTCTTTCGGACGACAGTGTATATTTTTACTGATATATCGTCACCTTAATGCAACCACCGATCACTTTTCGATCAGTTGTTGCTAAATTTATTTTTTTTAAGAAAGTAGAAAGCAAGTGAAGTAAAGTAAATATAGTAACACATATTTCGATTAACAAATGTATTTTCACTAAAACTACACACGTCGAAAAAGTTCTATTAACACCTCGGTCACGTTTCATCTGCAACAACCTAACACCTTCCCCAGTTAATACATTACAATCACTTACAGAAAAATCTTCGTTCGAGGTATTCCATCGCATAAACCATTGCCACGACAAACGATTCACATTCGTCCAGGTTCGAAAACATCAATCCGTTATATTACTTCCTCGGGGCCGTGAATCGATGCGCGAAAAATTGGAACAGGAATTCAACAAAGACTTTCGATGCTGCGGCTTGCGGAAAAAAGCTAATACATCTTCCGTTATGGGTGTGCGCTTTTTGGAAAAAAAAGGGGGAACAGAGAAAAAACCGAACGGTGACATTGTTATAGCTGGCACAGGGTATCGTGACAAAGGTAGAGCTGCCTTCAAAAATTTTCATTTCGCACCGTTGCGCACAGAAGAACGTCCGCGATTCTAGGTCACTCCCCCTCGTCGTGTAATCCCTGTACCAGTGGCGAAAGCCTGGCCGTGTGAAACGTGCCTAATCGCGAGATCGGCTCAACCCTTTTGCCTCGGTGAAAACCGCCTGGCCACCTGTTCAGGATTACGCGTAGCCCTTGTTCGCCATTCAGCCACTCAAAGAAGACCTGGCCTAGCTTGGGTAATATAGACCGCAACGTTATTTCACCTTGATATTGTTAATATCGGCATAATTGACGAAACGTCGATTATTGTACGTCGCCAGCTGACAATAGGTGTTACGTGCTTTTAACCCTTTAACGCACGTGGCAGACGATAGACGTTCAATCTTTCGTTTTGGCCGTATCGGTTGAAAATTTGTTTCATCGAAAGGAATGACAGTGCACGAAGGATGAAATTAAGGTGGAAATGCGCCAAAAAGCGCGAACAGTACAGTGTGAAGACGTGAATAGACGTCAATAGCAATGAAAGGGTTAAGACTCCGACGGTGTTGAGTGTTGGGAATTGTTACTTAATTCTACAGAAACCCTATAAATGATACAACGTATGTACGTATCTGCAAAAAATGTTTCGTATCCTGTATCTGGGTAGAAAGTTAGGTGAATGTAAACGAAGTATGCGTATGACTGTATTCAAATTACCGTCGACGTAAATATTCATGAAGACCTTAAGACACCATGAGCGTGTCATTGCCCCTTTTGCATCGATTAAAGAATTATTCGAGGAAAGAAATATTGCAGTTTTACTTGGTAGATTTTCTGCGTCGTAAATTAACTCGAGAATCTGAAATTACAAGGCTCGAACAGAGTTGCTCTTGAAACTTCGAATACGACGTTAAACAGAATTCCCACTTTTCGATTGAAATTTTTCTCTGCAATAATTGTACAATGTATATAAAATTCAAATAATTTATAATTTCATATAAGTTATTATTATTTCATAATTTTCTTATAGAAAATTCACTTCTCTCTTAAATTCTGATGCGAAATGTTACGCGTACCGTTAAAAAAATTCAATATTTAATAGAAAGAACCCTTCGATACCGTGCAAATTCTACAGAAAACACTTTTCTGTAGAATACATACTTGAAAAATTATTCGAGGTGGACGAGTTACGCGAATCACCCTGTATAGCATCGAGTAAACCAAGCAGACTCTCAATTTTCCACACAAAAAAAAGTGTGATCCGTATCAGTGATAAATTCAACGTCCATGCAGCCTATGGAAACGAAGGATAAACTGAAATAAAAAAAAAAAAGAGTAAAAATAATCTGCTGACCCATCGAAGCGTCCAATTAACGCAAATCCCTTCGTTGCTTGTTACAGGGTGTTTGTTGGATAATTCGGCGCCACGGGGCCCGCCCGATGTGCCACCCCGTAATCCTACAATGAGTCGCGTCAACGGAAGATTGCCAGGAAGTCACGCAGCCAGCGATCACGAGCGTGATCCCGACCTCCAGCCGTCCTGCCTCGTACGCACCTCATCCGGCGGCTTCTACAGTATACCAAGTGAGTAGTATTCAGGGTTGCTTGTGGTCTGATTTAGACAGGCTGAATAAAGGGGTCACGTAGAAGACGTTGGAAAGAGGTGAAGTTCCACTACCACCTTCAGGTCCCGTGTTCCTCCGCTCGATCAGCTCGATAACTGTTTGAGCTTATTAACGAATCGCTGGCTAGCGAAAGTCTGAGCCGTTCTCGATGGTATCGCGAACACTGCATCGTGACTCGTAGGATTACTCGTAGGTTACCTTGCATCGAATGTTACATGCTCGAAGCTTTTAACCCTTTCATTGCTATTGGCGCATACAGGCGTGTTGAAAATTTTGGTCTCAGTATGCTAGTACTGTGCAGCGGGGCTTCTGGCGGGCAAGGGCGCCCGCCGATGCCCGCGGGCAAAGCTGAGGGCGAAGTCGCGGGCTGGTGATGTCACGTACGTTAAAGCGGAATGGGGGAAAGACACTTGGTTACATTTTTTCGAAAGATAATTGTCCTTCTTAAGATGGGCGATAATTACTACATACAGAAGGTGTGGCTTGTTGCCCGCCGATTTGTTTACGCCCGGGGAAAGCTAATACGCTGCCCGTACGGGCAATAACTGAACGGCACTGCACTGTATACTGTTCGAACTTTTTGGTACATTTCCACCTTAATTTTACCCTTTACACGCTTACATTTTAATTTAATAAACCGAATTTTGAAACGATACGGCCAAGACAACAAACTTTGCAGCTGTAATTCAAAATTTAGCAACTGCCACTGACGTTACTTGCTAAAATCTGCCGCAGCGAAGGGTTTGAGTTTCAAGTATCTGTTCTATAGCAAAGTGATGCTTCTGAGAATGAAAAATTCTTGTTAATTGTGATAATTTGTGATAATGGTCGATTCGTTCGTTATGGAAGGTAGCTGATGGCGATTATCTGCGACTGATTAATAGAACGAGCGTTTTTTTACAAGTTCAATTAGTTATAAATGCTATTACGTAATAGTGACCATTTTGCCATTTTCCAGATGGTTAATAATTCAGTATGAGAGAGAGGGATTTTTGCATAGCAAAGACTTTTTCAATAAAAAATTCAGCGAATCATCTGTTCACCCTTAAATATTCTTGCTTGTTTAGTAAAGGAACCCTTTCTGAATGAAAAATTCACGAAATCGTCTTCCAACATTTTAGCGTTAAGTATCCTTGCAAATCCCGAAAGACAACACATTTAAACTTAACAACTCTGTTTGCCGCGACGTATCTTCCCTCAAACACGAGAACGCAAAACCGCGGATAGTTTGCCTAGCTCGAAGTCGAGTTCTCCGTATATCAGACGAAATCCTTATCTGCTGTCTTGTCTTAAGCGGTCAATCTTGCACTCTAGATATTTGTTTCTCAAATACTCGAGCACCGATATCGGTCCTGGGAAAGTTGGCTTTCGAGATCCTGGAAAAACCTCTATCTATGTAAAGTTCGCCGGTCCGTTTATCTAGAGATCGATTATTTACCCGACAAACCGGGAGGATCGAGATACAGAACGTTCCCGAGAAAAATGTGAATCGATAGACAAAGTGGTGGGTTTCGAGACGTTTGACGAAAGTGAGTGTGAAAGGAAAAACGATTCTTGGTAAAGAAAAGACGTCGATGTTTGGAGTAGGTGTGTCTGTCGATAACGCGGACAGTGCTTCGTCAAGGGCCGTAATAAGAAGGCTTAGCCAAGAAAAAGATAGGGGGAAGTGAGTGACGTTCTCTGACAAGGGTTGTACACGCTGTAATCAGTGGTAACCAATGGTGGGCGGAGGTGCGATAATTTTCCAAGATCGCATCTCCTTCTGGCTTCGCTGTCTTATCGGTTGGCACAGAACACCGAAGTGTGGCTCCAAAAATATTCGACGGTGTATACGTACGTACAAAGAAGAGTTCCGACACTTTCCGTAAGGATTTAACCTCGATTATTTATCGAAATATCCTGGCCGAAAGACTCTTTAGTTTATCTTAGGCGAACAGGCAGGCTCTGTTTCCTGTGGAAATTCTGGGATCGATAATGGGCACTTAAGTAAGCGGACTTTTCTAACGTAGACCAGAAAATAGCCGTCTTTGATTCCTTTATGCTCTTCTCGGAGTTACTGCTCGTGTTCTTCGTGAATGTTATCGATCGTTAAATTTGAGAAGCTTGAAGACCTTTTTTTCTTGGAAGGCGAAGTTGCCTTGTGATTTTTTCACCGTAATTTTCTATTATCCTTAGCCTTATGCATAGATAATAACGCATTGAGGATCGATTTTCTTGCTCAATTGTATGGATGAAAAATTGTAAAAATATTATGAATTGTTTTGTGATTAATTTTCTTGCTTTTTAATTCAATAAACAAAATATTATTCATTTGTGCCTTTGTCCAAAAATATTTTAACAAAATTTCTTCTATTGTATCAACTGAATTACAGTCCTCTAAGTGAAAAGTATTAAAAAATTTTCGGAAGTAAGGGAAACATATTTAAATAATTCTTTTTTAAATTTATCCTAAAAGTAAACTACAGCATACCAAACTCGTATGTTAACCCCTTGACTTCTGATTTTTTTTTTGCTGACTATACATCTAAACGTCTGCTATTTTAGTACTGTGCTAGGTAAGATTAATTAAATTTGGTAATCCTCAGTCTTATAAATTAAAACGAAAGTTAGAATGAAAATTAATTTCTACTACTAATATAACTGTTTCTGTATCACGAATCTAACTCGTTACAAGGCAAAGGGTTAATACTCGTACATTCCAACAGGCTCCGACTGTCCACCTACGTTACATAAATAGACTATTCGGTTAAACGTACCTTCTACAACAACTACCAGTCTACGTTACAAAAGCAACGTGTGCTAACCTTGGCATTTACTTAAATTTTCCACGTTGTATTCCCAGAACATCGACCATACCTCGAGCATCCCCCGTAACTTCCATCGAACGGAAAAGTTGATAACCGAAAAACTACCCGCCGAAATGCACAAAACGTAGTCCCTGAAAGCCCTACCTAAGCTCTCGAATCTACCAGGGACGATAACCCGTGAAATGCCGCGTCTGGATGGTACGAGCATGCTCGTGCCGGGTAGTGAATGCACTCGAGAGAAGAAAAGCACGCCGTGGAACAAGGTTTTCGAGATGCTTTAGCTGCATGAGTATCGACTGCAGGTAAAACAACGGCGAAACCCAAGCTTCTTGACGTTTCGAGTGCTTCTGGTGGAAAAGCGACCGATACAAGTGTCCCGTAGAAGACGCGGCGTCGGACGAGAGTTCCTCTTTTCTTCTTTTGGTTTTCTCACTGACGGAGGACACGAAATTTTCCACGGTCCTCCCGGAGCCTGTCCAGGCGCCAGAAACCGACTCTGCCGGCCATCTGTATACTTGACGTTCCTTTTTACGCGGGTACCTTGCAAGGCACTTCAAAGCTGTTTCAAAAGCGTGGGACGGTTCGGGCGGTGATTTATGATCTCTCGACTTATTGACCCTCGGTTATGACATTGGCTGACGCTTATGACCTTCCGCAGAATACTTCAGACTTCACCTAAGGTCGATCTTCACCTCCTCCTTCTACTCTTCCTTCCTTTTTCTTCGTACCGTCTGGTCATCGACACTGCCACCAATCTTTCCTGAGCTTTGTTGCTCCTGTTCACGTTGCTCTCTTCTAGGTTTCGTTCCTGGAATCTACCGCGTTTGGGAAATTCTATGGTTATTCATGTCTTCGAACGGTTAGGTGGTGAATCGTGTACTTGGTGTGTAGGTTGTATATACAGTGTTTCACAGGGATGCGTCTGAATGATTATTTTCTTCTTACTAATTTTTCATGTGACGAAGAAATTTGTTCTTATTATACAGTTGATAGTTGTACGTTACCCATTTTCAATTCGCAGTTGCATTTTTGAAGATACGTGATCAGGTACACTTCCGTTTGAGTATTACGACACGCATTATATTCGTACAGAAAGTATTACATGATTTAAATTATATCAGTAAAAATATGCAGGGTGTTCACTCTATTAATTCTCCTAAGTGGTAGATTTACGAGAGAAATGAAAGAGGACAAAGTTTTATTATTTTTTACACACAATACAATGGTGCGAATAGATTTTTTACATTTCCAATGGTTTTCTTGCAATGGCGATTTATACGAAAGGACGTATAGGGGGAGTTCCCTTAACGCCGGACGGCACCTAATATCGGACATTAGTTATATCTGCAATAATTGAAACGCTACCGAGCCGTTATTCTACGTATCTCCTAGAGGAGACGAAAGGAATAAAAATAAGTTTTCTACGCGTTTCAGTCGCGAGTGCACAGATAGAGAGATTTATTTAAGAAAAACCTAATGACTTACGACAAAACTTATTTTCAAACTCAATTTCGTGTCAATGTTATAAAATTAGAATTTAAAAAAATTCAAAGAATTTATAATAAATTTGAATTTAATGCTTTCATTTTGCATGGTCATTCTCTATCATGATTATCTAATCAATGCATTCCTATTTTTTTTTTTACCACTCCTTATACATTTTTCATGGAGAAAGAAATCCGATTCACGTTGCAGGAGCCTCTCATAACCAATCCAAACCCATAATGATCTCTCGAAATGAACACATTGATGTTCTTCCGCTGGAAACCGCAGGATCCTCCATCCCCCAGTGATTTTTTATGGAAACAGGTAAAAGGATCGCCCTCTGATGCTCTCGCAGCCCTTTGTCTTGCCATGACGAGAGAATTCGCTTGTTTCACCCTTCACCCTACGCTTCATGTACCTGGTGAGCACGAAATCGGAGCGTGGGAAGATGAAGGCCAGCTAAAACAGGCCCCATGCCGTTAATTGCAGGTGTTGCTGGCTGTTCGGCCCCAAAATCCGATGATTATGGCATTTAGGCAGATATCCGTGATTACAGCGATCCCGAGCTTCTCCTTTTGTATCTTTTGCCACGGTTATCGGCCGCACGAGACGGCGTTTAATGCGAGGGGCTGAATAAAAAGGGATGCGTCTATGGTTGGCGTGTCAGAATTGCTTTTAACGACGGACCAGTCCAATATGATTTAGTTGCGTGCACCTCGTTGACGCTCGAGAAACAACTTCGCACCGTGGTGTTTCGTTCGTTAGAGAATTTATTGGGGAAATACTTTCGCTAATTTACTTTGAGAGTCTTTGCTTCTGAGCATTGAGGAAACTGAGATGAATAATTTTTTGGAAAAAGTCATTTGGTCTTCGATTATCGTTTTCACTGTTTCTTAATTTTTCTGCACGATTAATAAGAAAAAATATCTTTGTAACCTTTCGACTGTTTTATATTAACACATTTGAGATAGTGAAAGCGTGAATAGAAATACTTGACGATAACAGAATGGAAATACATTATCAATTTAGTCTGAAGAGAAGGTTAGCAATTAAGGGTTAATTATTTGTGGCAGGAGTTTGGATAGCAGAAGGCACGTTTCAAAACAAAATGAACACACTGTTAACATTTATTTATTTCTGTTATTATAATACTACTATTTGTACACTTTCGACAACAAAATAATACTGATTAGATGAAAAAACAGCTTTCATAAAAATAACTAAAACCAAGAGAAAGTAGCAATGGTAAATTAACAATTAACTCATTAATATTAGCAACGTGAAATTTTTACAAGATGTGAATTTTACTCTGCTTGTGTTTCAAAAATTTTCCCCTTACGAATCATGTCCAGAATCAAACTGTTGAATTTAGGCAGATAATTCCACTCCAAATTTCTTAGAACTGTCCCGAAAAAGGAAGTCCAGGCTCCCAGTAAAATTACACTCCACTTAAGGAAAACTAAATAAAAAGAAAAGAGAAAATAAATTACAACTACATAAATTCACTTGAAATAATTCTATTCACTGCTGCAAGCGTAGAAAATAAAACGTGACAAGAAAAGGCAAATATTTAAAAGCAATTATTCCTCCGGTATCAGTATTCATTATATAGCACCGTTTTCAATTACCCTTTAGAAAGAAAGTCCGGATCGATGAGTGGGCCGGCAGGAAAACCGCCATCGATTACACGGCGTCGATCTTGCGGTGTTTCCAAGGTGTTCAGTTTTCCTTATGCACGTTGCGGTCTGGTCGCTTGAAATTCAAACCGAAACCACGATGAATCATGTACTTATCGATTCAACACGGGCCTCGTTCACCGTCTCGCTTCTTCCTCTTTTTCCTCCGTCTTCGTGTGGATTGGGGAACACGGTGAAAAGAAAAGGGCGTCGCGTCTGGCATCGCAAAACCTGCAACACTCTACCCGTCATAACGTGGAACGACTGGAAACATAGAAAAAGAAAAACTATCGACGTTTGCTTAATTCATTTTTTTTCTTCTCCGCCACCAGCTCTACCTACGATCCGTGTCCTCCCGAATTATGTGTACCTTGGGTAATTAGAAATCTGTGATGAATACGTTTAGCGTGAAACGAGGGGTACCATTAAATTGTCGGAATGACGGAGTATCACGGTGAACAGTTCGAATTATTTGCTTTCACGCAAGAATCGAGAACTTTGCTTCGGTCGATTATTAAACGGTTAATATGCACTTTGAAATAGGCAGAGTTATTACCGATTTCGTGGAGTAATTAAAGGTCTCGTTTTGATGGTCGATCAGTGGCGGTACGATTTGTAGATTTGTCGCCTGTTGTTTCAATGATTTCATAAGCTTAATGAAGTATTCGTAGGAAATTACTTGTTGAAAGTAATATGTGACGAATTGTTTTAAGTAGCGATAAAAAAAATGTGAAATATCTTTGAAATATAAAGGTAAAGTGAGCTTGAACAGTCGTTGCAATTATTGAGATCCTGAAGAAAATGATCCAGTCCGGAATCTCGTAGTGCAACGAGTGTATACGATAACATATCTAAATATCTATTTTAAAAAACAATTATAGTTGTGAATTTGAACAAATTCGTGGTATCGTCGTTACGCGAAAACCATTGCGCATTTAAAAAATCTATTCGAGCAATTGTATTGAAAAGTAGTTAAACTTTGTCCTCTTCTATTTTTCTCACAAATCTTCCCTCTTGTGAGAAAAACGCTGGAAATTAATAAGGTGAACACCCTGTACATTTGTATACTGATATAAGACACTAACTTTGTCGAAGAAATGTAATTTAAATCGTATAATACTTTCTGTACATACACAACGGGTGTCCTAATACTTGTAAATGACAATGTACGTGTATACAGGGTGTCCCAGTATCTCTTTCTATTTCGTATTATTGCTATAACTTTTTAACAAAGCTTCTAACGACCTATGTTTGTATAACACTTTTGTCATACTTATACTCATAGAACGCACTGACAAAGTTTGATCGGAAACATTTGGGACACCCTGTATACATCTAACTGCCATACGCTAAAATCTCGCTTTACAAGTGAATACTAACGATTATACTTCGCTCATATCAAATTCCTCTTGCTAGATACCTAATTCCACTTTGAATTAGCCTAAAATACTTCAAACACTATTTTCTTCTCTCTCTTCTTATTCACTCGATGTTACTAAAAAAATGTATGGAAACTCGAGTAAGATTAAGGCTAAAAGCTCCCCAAGAATAGAATTCATCCTGTCCACATTTAACCTCGACACGAACACGTCCATCCATAATGGCGTATCCGAACAAACCGCTAAACTATTAATGGTACACGGTTGCAGTACACATTGCCGGAATTTGAGAGGACTGCTAGATCGCCGGCTCTTGAATTGTTGCCGCGAGTGACCGGCGTTTCTAACGCTGCACGCCGATGAATTATTTTGTATAGAGACGACAACGAGTAGAATACGGGGAGGAGAGAAAAGGGGGTAGGGGGAAACGCAAAGATATTATACGTCGGATGGAGGGAGAGAGAGACTGAATAAAAGTGAGGCCGAAGGAAAGTAGGCCAGCGTTTCCCACGAGAAATTTCATCGATCTACAACGTAACAAATTGTCTCTATCGTTTTGTTCTCTCTTTTTCGCAGAGATACCGAAGAATGAGTACAACAACAAGAATCAGTCCACGGGGAATAGTCCAATAAAGGTCGAGCTGCAAAACAACATGGACAGGTAAGCCTGTTTCATTTTCTCCGTTCTATCGTCCACCCTGTATTTGTCCTTTTCCCTATTTTTCTTGAAAAACGCGAGCAAACCGAGGTGAAAGAAAGAAAAGATCGAACGTTGAGAATAGAGTAGAGGAAAGAAAGGAAGAGGGAGGCAACAAGTGACGGAAATTTCGAAATCTAACTGTGAGCTTAGAGATTGGAACGAATGAACCATGACGGACACCCAGTGGCTTCTTCGTGTTTTCTTCTGTACTCGAACAACCAGGAGAGCACTCGACGGGTCTCCGTGAATCATCTATTCAGATGGTGTCGTACAATGAGTCAATGTTTGAAGGCGAAGTGTCATCCCGTGGAGGAACGGTTTTTGTGCACGTGACACCATGTTACCGTGGAAAATCGTGTTCCTCGGGACACCACGGATGGAGCCTCGACTTGGAGTGTGCGCTCGAAATTTGCTAAACGGTCGTAAACTTCACCACCGCGGGGTTCCCCGTTTCCGGGAAATGTTTTACTTCGATATGACTACTGTGTTTACACGCACAGTGAGACTCGGTGAAATACGTTTGACGAGGAACTGACAAATTTTTTCGATGAAATTCTCGGGTTTTCGAAACGATTTTTTGGCTGGAATTCTGGTATTTTGGAAAATATGTCCTCATGGGAAAATGTTTTCACGTAGATACAAACTGTATTGTACATTATATCTTGTGGAATTTTTATTGTTACGCCTGAAGAATTTTCATTAAAACGAAAATTACTTTGAAGGAAAAATAGTGTTTACTTTTTATACAGGTCTCTAATCATGGCTGTAACAGTTTTGTACGATATTGTTAAAATTGTTGGGAACAAATGGGGTATATAAATATAGAATAAAAATTTCAATTGTTTCCCATGAAAAACTGTATATTTATTGTAAGAAATATAATTCAAACAACGTTGACAGAACGCACAGAGAAAATTGCATTAATAGAACGCAAGGAGAAAAAGGACCAACCGCACAAAATGTCACCCCTGAATTCCAACATAAATTTACATATTTCTTCTACACCAGAAAAACTAAAACCGTGCAAAGTACACTCGATATGCAAACAACACACCGGAAAGGACGTTCCTTACTCGTTAAACGATAAATAGTCAGTCCCCCGTAAACAACTCGAGGCAAAAAGCGAAACTAAAGCTACAACTTCCGTTCAGATGCTCGATTACCACCGCGAAGTCCGGACTCCAAATATAAAATCAGAAACAATCTTCCGTTTACAATTTCTCCACTTTTTTCCTTCTTTTTTTTCCGCGTTAATTCGTGCGCCAAATATTTAGTCTGGAGGACTAAACCGATCGGGGTGGGACGGTGGAACTCGAAAGAGAGAAGGGAATTCGCGCAACTCTCGAGGACGTCGTTGATGCGAGAAAGGGAGGAAGAGACCTCCACGAAGAAAGACGACGAAGACGACGTTGCGTCTGGCTTTCGTTTTCCATTATCGCGTGATGCAACGAAAGCAAATAGGCAGGCAGAGGCTCTCGCTGACTCGGGAGAGAACCAGGCCCGCGCGCGTCCCGTTTAAATATTTTTGTTGGACGTTTCGGAGTTACTTGGAAGCGCCGCGCGACGTTCACCATAAACATACTCCACCGGGCCTCCCGATGCTTTTGCGCGAGAGCACGTGACGAGTACAAATATATTTGCCCGCGTATCAAACGACGCGAACCAACGTTACCGTTCCCTTTGAAATCAGTGTGTGTCGCAAATGCGGCGCGGGAGGAATCGCGCGGAGCACCCACTTTACGATCGGGCATATCTCCACCCGCTTTAATCGTCGGAACATAGAGAAATCGCGTAATTGTGTTAATCAACGACTGGGAAAATAGACGATAATGTAACGTGGAACGTGTAAAGAGTACGTTTGTAACACGTAAGGGGTGTGCGCGTGTGTGAAATTTCGCGTAAAATTCATATTCAGGTGGCGGATTAAAGTTGATAACGATGGTCGTGGAGTAAAGTGGATAACAATGGATTTAAAGTGGGCGGATATAGCGGTTACTGGTCGGTACGTTATGATCGAGAATGTAGTACTTGCTTGCTCCGCGGTGAAAGATGAACGAAGTTTAATGGGTAGTTTAGCTGTTCGAGGAAAATTAAGAATGTAGGAGTTGCGGCGTTTTGGGACGCTACACTAGGTTTACGGAAGATTTCTTATTACCTGTCTCTAAGGACACGCGGCAAATTGATTTAGTGAACGAAACCCCACATTTTCTTTAAAAAACAACATATTGTACAGTATTAACTTATAAATGAATAAGCATAAGCGGTAGGGGAAACTTTCCTCGTGAAATTCGAAATGCGTCAAAATGGCGCGTCCCGTAAATCTAGTGTTAAGAAAGATGAAATCGTTATTAAAGCATTTCATCGATTTTGGTATTTACCGGAACCATCTGCAATTTTATATTTAGTTTTGATTAGGGGGTGCACCCTGAAAAATTTGGGAATTTTTTTATAGGTAACTACTAAATGAAAAGTTTCAATTTTTATCAGAGGATGTAAATATAACTTTCGGCTTTTTTCTACAATTTTTAAAAAGTACAAGTATTACAAAATGGAGGAGTTATTGCGAAACATCTTCTGTTGGAACGTGGATTGCTGGCGAGCAATTGCCCTTAAGAATTGAAACGTCTGAAATAAAAATTCTTTTTGATTTATAAATAAAAGTGTATTTCTTATCTCATTATACATCTCAATTATTTAATTCCTTCGAAACGTTCCAATTTCTTATGCTACTATTTCTGTAATAATTACAATTTTTGAAAAATCATACGCTACATCGTAAGTGATACATTTCTATCTATAAATCGTCAAAGAATTTTTTATGCCAGGCATTTCTCAGTCCTTGCCGTCAAAGGCGGCCAACAATCGACGTTCTAGTAGAAGAAATTTCACAATTAGCGACTAACTCCCTCATTTTGTAACATTTTTAATTCTTAAAAATTTGAGGAAGAAAGTTGAAAGTTGCATTTACATCCTCTGAGAAAATTGAAACTTATCATTTAGTAGTTACCTACTCAAAAAATTCCCAAACTTCGTCCTATTTTTAGACGTCTCAAGGTAGCGCAACCCCTTAATTCGTCTAATACGCTTCAACATGCTTAGAAAGAACATTATATTACGTTTGTACAAAGACCCGTGAAATTAAGTGAAATAGTGCTGCTAAGTCTAGTTGCTAATTTGGGCTAATCTTGATTTCAGAGTACCTTTACCGTACGGCCACGCGCCCTCAATGATCCCAATGAGGAGACAAAGCATTCGTTGCCATTTTGTCAAAGGGGTCGATTGGTGCAGCTGGAAATTAATTGCAATGATGCTACTTATGGTCTTGCTATGCATAACGGCAGCGCTAGCCTACGTTGTAGGTAAGTCGTCTTCTAATTTATATTCGACACGCATATATCTAGATTAAATGGGAAACAAATGTCCCTACCACTGTTGGAATAATTCATTATCGAATAATCGATTCTGTTTGTTCATTTCGATTGTGAAATGTGGAATAATTTTGTAAATCAAAATTCACTTGAATTGGTTTTTCGTTAATTTCGAAGTATCCTCAAAATGATCCTTAAAAAATGTGTTCGAAAAAAAGATTCGCTGCATGTTTAACGGTGAAACACTGAAAAATTCGCATTTTTATAATTTAGTAGTTGGGTAATAATAGTTTATAAAATATTAAAAACAATATCGCGTTACTCTATATCCTCCTGGCGTTTTTCACTGGGATTAATAAATGTATCAAATTTAAAATACGCCCCAAAAACGTGTCCATTGATGCGATCTCCACGCTTAAATCTAAATCTCCATATCGTTTAATGAAACAAATCTATTATATGTATCAAATATGTTCAAACACTTCCTATCACTTACTGTAACATCCTATCAACGGTTTTCCAATTCATCTACTCGATTTAATGCTACAAAATACGCGCATAACGCAATTCAACAAATAAACAGTAATAGCTGAAACTATTGTTGTTTAATTAATTGTTGGTTCACAAATAAATATTATATCTACAACTGCAATACTGTGGAAGCTCGTCAATATTCAGTAATAATAAAAATCCATTTTCTCGTTATCATCCTTACACGCAACTGTATCAACCCTAAGCTGTCTCTGTCCATTACAAAAACTTCCTGTAAAATTCTTTTTTATACACCGATCGATGCCAATAATATTTACACGTAACAAAGTCCTGTTCTTTCGGGTTAAAATTTATTTAAACAAGATTTAAATGTTTGAACTTAAACTAACAAAGTTTAAAAAAATTTAAACAAAGTTGTGTTTATCGGGCGGCAATTTGAACATGCCGCTCGTGTAAAGAGCACGAATACGCTTGCAAGACTCTTGAATCTCGATAAATTAAAAGATACCTTTTATCTATTTATTTTTAACTTATTGCAATTTACACGAGTTAACACGTTCCATGTCGATAAACAACCCCCTTCAAAGAAACAGTAATTCCAATAAATACAACGAATGTGTTATCGAACGTCGTTCTCGTTTCAGTATCAAGTATAGTGAACCGGTCCTATCAAGGAACGAAAACGTGTACGGTGCTGGTCGGCGAGAACGCGGACACGAAGCCGGTGTCTTCGGACAGGAACAAGACCTCGTCGTCGGCGGAATCCTCACAATCCACCAGTCGAACACGGCAACAGGCGTCCTCAGGAGGTAGTATTAACCCGTCGGCTAGCATGTTAGAGCACGTGTACACCCGTAAGCGTAGGGACACGTTTAACCAGCATGCGTTGCACCAAACTATCGCATCGCCCCGTGAACGCGCCGACAAGCCATCCTCGTCGACCGTGGCCGATCTTGAACACTCGTCACGGTCCGAGCAGAGGCCAGCGGAGCTGTTCAACGGGGATCGTCCTCATGGTGTGGTTGTTGTGCATGAAACGGAGCATGCGGACGATCCTCTACCAAATGTGAACGCCAGACATGCGGAGCTGCTCGAAGACGTACTCGAGTCATCGTCCTCGTCGTCGTCGACAGAACAGACGACGATTACTCCCATGGGGACACTGCTTCACGTGAATGTCTCTGACTCTTCGAATACCACTAACTATACTCATGATCGTTCGACTCATACCACTGTCGCTGCTACTCTCGACCTAGCCTCCTCGTCCTCTATCTCTGTTGCCTCTGTCCAACCTGCTACTAGCGATCGTTCGTACGCCTCTTATTCGTTCTCCTCTACCGTTTCACCTAACGAACCGGCTGACCAACCTTTAGAGACCCAGTTCGATAATAGTGCCACGGGATCCGCGTTAAACGTCGCTACCGATCCGATAATCGAACCTTCGATCGACCGTTCAACCACGGACAATGCTTATATAGAGACTACGGAAACTTGGGATGTTCCTAGGGCTTACGTTAGTCCTGAAGTAGCGTTAAACGTAGAATCGAAGGATGTAGAATTGACGACCGTGAGAGGTTCGATGGATAATCAGAAGAGTAGTACTAGTGGTAGCTTAGAACCTGTAGATAACGTAAAGAGAACCGTAGAACCGGTAGAAAGTAAGAAGAAGAATGACAACGTCACCGTGTACGACGATCGTCTCACGAATATCACCGAAACGTCGAACGTAAGTACCACTGGCTCGACGAAGAGCGAACAACCGGATGATAACGCGGTACCGGCGCGAGTAGAGCACGTAGACACCGCTAGTACAGTTTCCTCGGAATCCACGAAGGAAGCGAGGGCAGGCGGAAGGGTCGAGGAAAGCAAACCAAACGGTAAGAATCTGGAAAGTGAAAATACTGCAGGGAACGGACCGCAGGATCGTAGGAATGCGAACGCTTCCGACAATTTTTCGGACGTCGTGAAGGAAACGCAAGAACTCTCCCGGGAGGAATCCTCGTCCGAAACGGAGGTTTGGCCGAGTCGTGTGAAAAGTTCCGAGAAATCCGAGGAACTCCAGCGGGACTACCCGATTTATAATTACGGCCAGGACGAGGTCGAGATAGTGAAGCTGAATCACGGCAACGACGTGGCCGAGACCACGATAAAAACTAAGCAACAGGCTCGTTCTGTGTTTGATAACGGACTGAAGATGAACAATGTTCCGCGTTTAGGGCAAAGAACTAGCAATTATGGGGTATTCACCATAGACAAGACCGACGAGTCCCTCAGGGAGTTCGAGAGAAAGTTCAGCGAGAAATCGTCCGAAGCAGACTACTCTGACACAGCTAAAAAATTGCACGAAGGTACTAACAACGCGGGATCACACGCGAGATCGAATTCACCTACCGAATCACCTACACCGCTGACTCAGCAGGTGAAAATCATCGAGGTACCGGTTGATAGGTCTGGTCATAAATCCTCATCGAAATCATCTTCATCGGCGTCGTCTAATAGGGTGCTTGTAAACATCACGATAGCTTCCGGAGATCCTGCAGCCTCGAAGCCGCTTTACGTGCTATCTGTCTCTGTGCCTACGAACGGTAACGCTGACGAACAGACGTCTGGGGTGAATGTGAACCAGGTTCAGACGCACGAGCACGAAACTTTGTCGGAGGAATCAGCCTCGAGCATGAGAAAGGTCGCGAATCCTACGGTTGGAAACGATAATCGATTGCCTCCGCCGCCACAGCCGCCCTCGTCACCTCCGCCTCCAATCTGGGCTGGTGGCGAGTGTGAGTGCTCGTGTCCGTGCATGGGTTCATCGTCTGACGAGTGGGACAATGATTCAGGGAACGACGAATCCGTAAACTCCGATCAAGAGGAACAGGTGAATAACTCGAACGTCTCTGTGGACAAGTCACTCGATCATCGGGCAAAGACAACGACTGATTCGAGTCTGAAGGATCAGGACGATGGAAAAGAGTCCACAGTGACTATGGAGGAGTCTGTAAGGAGCGAGGTAACCACCTCGAACACCGAGCACGATTATTCCTCGACTACTGAGGAGAACAGCAGTTCCGTTGACTGGACCACCTCGAATTACGAGACAGAGTCGAGCAGCACAGGCATGTCAGAGTGTTCTGGGACAAGCCCGTTACCCCCAGAACCCACTATACTGATCCTGGAAGGTGAGGCCCCGTTTACAATTGTTTACGATTCAAACAAATTTTGCCTTTATCACTTGATTCTCGTCTGAAGAATCTTTTTTTTTTCTTTTTCTTCTTTTTTTTTTTATACTTCTTCGTCTTTTATAAATCTGCTATCATATTTCTTCTGTGCTGATTTTTTTTCTATTTCTCTTTTCTCCATACTTTTCACTCTTTTCCGCTGATGCGAGCTTCTTTTTTAGCTTGAAGACAAAGCAACACGTAGCGATTCGCGAAGTACTTATCATACTCGAAGTTTGTTTGCTTGTAGAACGTTCGCTGTTGGCGTGTTCTTTTTTTTTTTTTTTTATTTAGACGTTTAGTGGTGTAGTGGTTACATAGTAAAGAAGTCTGTGTATATAACATTCAGTAATATGGTGCTGGTGCATCCTGACCGTACGCAACTACGTAACCGAGGTATTTTCTAATCAGCTGTTGCACGATAACAAACGAGAACAATGAAAGAGAGAGTGTGTGCGAGAGAATGACAACTGTGGTGATAGTATTGCGCTAGGAGAGCGTGATGAGAATTCATTAGAGAATTCAGGGTGAGAACCAACTCCAAGTTTTCTATATTTCTTCTTTTCTTCATTTCTTTTGCTGTATTGGAGTAGTCCGGTTCTTACGACGACAATAGAGAGTGAAAGTAATTAGAATTTATGAATTGCAACTGTACGTTTAACGGTTAGAGTAGTCAATGCGAGATATAACGTCTAATTGTATGGTTGCCACGAAATTCGCTGATGCGCAAGCCTAGCTAAGTATAAAAGCCATGCAATTTTTATACACCTTTTGTGCTTTACGTTTAAGCAAAAACGATCAGTTTTCTGGCGGGAAATATTCTCCTTCCGTGTGATTAAAAATGTACGAGGTAATTCTAGGAACTGAGATAATTCATTCACTCGCCGTTTTCTCTGGTACTTTTCAGAGTAAATTATCAGTGCTCCCCTTTTCTCAGAAATAAATACTAATTAATTCAGTGAAATACATGGAAAGAAAGAAAAAATTGAACAGTGAACCATTTCGTAAAGCTTGCATTTAAAGAAATTCTTCGAAGTGTTCGTAGGAGACCTTCTAAAACTTCGTAAAAATGAAACACAATTCAACCTTAGTTTTTCGAACTACCCTATCCATTTGCGTACGTCAACTCGGATGACGTACATCGAAAGAAATAAGATTTCCTCCAATATTACCCGAAAGAAAACTGATTCCTCGTGAAAAACGCGACTGCCAACTGACGTTCTTCCCTGTCTCCAATTATCCAGGTGCGAGAACTTTCCCCGCCAGGTCTTTTCCACCTGACGGCACGACTTTCGCCCAAGTAGGCCTGGGACAGAAGCTCAGCAAAGAGATCCCTCCTTACAGCTACTGGAATATGCAATTCTACCAATCGGAGGCCGCTTACGTGCGATTCGACTACAATATCCCTCGAGGAGCGAGCATCGGTGTCTATGCTAGAAGAAACGCGCTTCCAACGCACACGCAATACGATCTCCTGGAAGTGCTGAGCGGTTTCAAGGCTAGGACCACCAGGGCGTCCCATGTTAGTGTTATTGTATGTGCCACTGCCCCATTTTTATTTTTTTTTATACGTAGTATAGGCTGTTAGAAAAATCGTCAAATACAAACGAATCAAGTTGCTCCTCTGTATTCTGCTGATATTCTTGAAAAGATTCATTTTTCTATTATTATGTTGTTGGTGAAAGAGGGTAACGTTTGTTGAATATTCTGGGAGGATTTTTTTTTTATTTTTTTCCCTTGGAAACACGCGGACCTGTAGTGAAAGCATCGAGAAAGAAACTGACACGAGATTTTTCTAAGATTCGTTGATTTTCTGGTCCAGCCTTCGATCAAGAAAGAAGTGACGCACTATATGGAACCTGGTCACTGGTTCCTCTCGTTGTACAACGACGACGGAGATCCTCAGGAGGTATCGTTCATAGCTATAATCGCGGAGGACATGACGCACAATTGTCCGAACGGATGTAGCGGGAAGGGTGAATGTCTGTTGGGTCATTGCCAGTGCATCCCTGGCTTCGGTGGCGAAGATTGTAGCGAGAGCGTTTGTCCTGTCCTTTGTAGTCAACGTGGTAAGTTTCTCAAAAATGGTATCATGTAATTTCACAAAAATGCAAACCTTCGTTCGAGAAAAATTGTCTTTTCTTGAGTTATTCAATTGAACTTCGTTTCTGCGGACTTTAGCATTAGCGATTAGGACGCGTACTCTTTGCTTAATACTGTGCGAGGTAGTTTTAAATGTGTTTCGAAGAGTGATCAATGGTTGATCGCCGCGGTACTTGTTTTTTTTAGTGCATATGACGAGTTGGTCGAGATTTATAGTGTAACTTGTAAAATAAGCGGTGACACGGTTAGCGAATGGGTGAGTTTCTCAGAACCTGGGTAGTTCTCTTAGAATCTTGAGTCAACGAAAGGATCAGGCCTAAGGGTGAACTGACCTAAGTCTAGAAATTGCTAATGGATTTATGACACGTCTTCTAATGCTATTGAGAAGGCAGAAACAAGACACTAACACTTCATATGATATGCAGAAATACAGAATTTCTGGGCCCATAAAGCAATTTCTAGACCTTACATTCCTAACTGTGGCATAAAAATTTCAACTAAATTCCATAAAAGTAGCTTTGCTATCTAAGAGTACATATCGTAGACTCAATCGCCTTAACTGTTAACGTTCCTAATCACATCGCAACATTTTTCACTTTATCTGTATCTAAAGCTTCCAATTTGCAAACTAGTCAAAGCGTGTATACTTAGCCGATTAACGTAAACCTCTAAATGAAATCAATGAATACTATTTCTATCTAGAAGTCTATATCAATTATTCTTCCGTCATCACCGAACAGAGCAATAGCAAGGAATAGATCCACGTAGGCGAACAACGCTCGGTTATTACATTTAGAAAGAAAGATACACGTGTACGATTCCAAATAAGAGATCTAAATTTTACTTAACACGTTCGCTACCAACGTCACATACGTGTGACGCACCAATTCCCATGATAGAACGGTGCTATCTACAGGTAATACATCATAAAAGATGCACAGTTTGAGTATTTAATAGATATTAGGTGTGTATAAGTGCAGGCATCTATCGTATTACGTAAAACTGAAAGAATACAGATATGAACCCTCTACTGTCAAGACCGATATGGAGTCTACGAAACTCCTCAACTTCCAGTTAGTTTATACACAAATATAGAACATTTCTGACAACTTTTCTTACCGATTTACCTTTATAACGCATTATAGAATAGAGTGGTTGGCTGTATTAATTTCATTTTAACATAATAACGTCGAGTTCTAAGCAGAATGGAAGAAAGCAAAAAAGACAGAATCAGCGGAGTCTCTGAGACTCCGCCTCGACAGTAGAGGGTTAAAAACGTAAGTCAAAATAATTCGAAGGATAGTGGACGATGCTTGAACAGTGAACCGTGGTAGCGAACGTGTTAAGCACTCTTCCAAATGAATTATCAACCTTTCGTATTTTTCATATTCTTCACGTCACGTTGCTTCGTCCCAATTTTAGGCGAGTACATAAACGGAGAGTGTCAGTGCAACCCTGGTTGGAAGGGGAAGGAGTGTTCTCTGCGACACGACGAGTGTGAAGTGCCTGATTGCAACGGACACGGGCATTGTACCAATGGAAAGTGCAATTGCGTGAGGGGCTACAAAGGAAAGTACTGCGAGGAAGTGGACTGTCCTCATCCGACTTGCTCGGGCCACGGTTTCTGCGCGGAGGGCACGTGTATCTGCAAGAAAGGATGGAAAGGAGCGGACTGCAGCCAGATGGACAAGGAAGCGTTGCAATGTCTGCCTAACTGTAGTGGCCATGGGAACTTCGATCTTGAAACTCAGACCTGTCTATGCGAGCCTATGTGGTCTGGCGATGACTGCTCGAAAGGTAACAGACGTTGTTCTTAAGCATACGATGAATTAAATACAGAATTAGGAACGTGAGGTTAAGCTGAAGCTGTGATACAATTGGAGAAGAAACTTTGTCCTATGCAAGAATAATTTGAAAGTGAGAATTTCTTCGTAGAACTTGATTTTGGGTCACGAATACTCATTAGGAAGTACATAGTCGTAAATTGAAAAGTACTGATACTAGACTTGAGTTGGGGGTGCTGAGTACTGCCATCAAAAATTCCTGTCTGCTGCATTTAATAGTCTTATAGACATGATTGCACATGTCTTTTATCATTGTGATTGTAACTTTATCTTCGATGATTCTGGGATCTCAAAATCATCTTAGATCTCTGGTGATACCTTCCTGGAAATTCTGCAAGTTCAGAATAGTCTTACTTAAAAGACTATTATACAATTAAAATGATCCTATTTCGTTAATGAATTTTTAGGACCTAGTAGTCGATCCAGGCTGCATAATTCAGTCTAGCAATTTATACATATTTAAAGAAATTTTCAAACCTACTTACCCAAAATTAAAGCTGCATACGAACAAATCTTGGTCTCTTCTAGATTGTACCACGACTTCAAACCTGCTCCACCTTAAACATTTTCACTCTGTTTCAATTGTTTCTATTTTAGTAAAAAAAACAAAGATTCGTATTTCTCATTCGATTTCTTATGTTTCCAGGTATCACATCGACCACAAATTCTCGTTTTTCCCGTTTCTTTTTCACCCCTTTGCTAATAGTCGTTCGTTCAACCCCCGTATGTTAATTAACTTCGTTCTCTTTTGCCAAACCAAAAAAGCCCCAATTTTCCCCCTGGCTTCTGTGTTGCTTGCAAACACTAACCATCTTCGAAAGACCTTTCGCGGAACGTCATAAATGTAACTCATCGCGTTTCCCCACTTTCTTTCCAGAATTGTGCGATTTGGACTGCGGTCCTCATGGTCACTGCGTGGACAACGCTTGCGACTGTCTGCCCGGATGGTCCGGCGAATTGTGCAATTTGAAGCAGTGTGATCCACGATGCAACGAGCATGGCCAGTGCAAGAACGGGACCTGCTTGTGCGTGACCGGTTGGAACGGGAGACATTGCACGATGGAAGGTTGCCCGAATTCCTGTTCCGGACACGGACAGTGCAGAGTCAGCAACGACGGCCAGTGGGAGTGCAGGTGTGACGATGACTGGGATGGCAAGGACTGCAACGTGCTCCTCGAACAGATCTGCAACGACGGACGGGACGATGACAAAGGTACAAAAGGAGTGGAAAGGAAACTTGCAATTTGCCCGATCTATTCGCGAAATTTTTCGATTACCTGTACAGTTTGATCGACTGACAAAGCGACCTACTTTTTTCCGTGTCTATAGGAACAGATCTGCAACGACGGACGGGACGATGACAAAGGTACAAAAGGAGTGGAAAGGAAACTTGTAATTTGCCCGATGTATTCGCGAAATTTTTCGATTACCTGTGCAGTTTGATCGACTGACAAAGCGACCTACTTTTTTCCGTGTCTATAGGGGGTCAGCTGTTTCGTTTGATGCAAAGATATGTGGTCTAAATTTGCTTAAACTCTCTGCTAAATTAATTCTTGATCTGTCTGTTGACATCTTGAACTATTAGAGATTGTAAATTGAAGACGCTGAATATTCTGATACTGCTACCCTGCATACAACTAAATCATTGTTTAAATTAAATTGCACATTAATTACATTTTCCTTAAATATACATATCAGCTACTTCAATTATTACAAAGCATATGTATATGGAATCATTATATTTAAAGAGCTTTTACCTGTAAATACCTCAGCTAAGTAGCAAGATCATAAAAAAAAAAGGAATACCTACCAAAAATTGATTTCTTTAAAAAAGCAAACGAAATAACGAATAAAAAGCCCAAGCTGGAGTACGTAAATATAACGAACAAATGAGAATCCTTTCACGTGTCTTCACGCAAATTAAGGGGTGTGGTTTATGACATCCATTTGGAATATTAGCTTCGAACCTAAAGAACCTATCTATCAATACTCTATACAGCAAGAAACGAACCTAAGAATCCCGTTGAAACATGTTGCAGTGTAATCCATCTAGCAGCTTTTCTAATTGCACGATAATGTACATTTCAGACGGTCTCGTCGATTGCGCTGATCCAGAATGTTGCTCGAATCATGTATGTCGTACCAGCCAGCTTTGCGTGTCAGCACCGAAGCCGATCGATATACTTCTGCGAAAGCAACCGCCTGCCATAACCGCTTCCTTCTTCGAGAGGATGAAATTTTTAATCGACGAGGGCAGTTTGCAGAACTATGCTCGTCAGGAGACCTTCAACGAGAGGTGAGTTACACACGACTGTCAGCACGATCGTGTTTCACAGATTCTCCTTCGTCCAGCGCGGCCGTTGTCTCGATTTTAACAAAACGATATACCACAAACGCGTTACTATAAAAAAAAAAAAACAGAAGAAACAAATCGTGAATAGAAAATTAACACGATCTTTCGTCGACTTGAAAACGTGTCTGTCCGTTCGTCCATCCGTTTGTTCGTTCGTCCCGACATTGATGTTACGTGCAATCTTTTTTTTTTCCGTCTGTGAAGTATCAAAAACACTTGATTTTTACAGATTTAATACGAAAGCATAATACAGATACTCTCGGTAGACACGACGCATATGTATTGTCTACACCAGGCATGGGCAACCTTTCCAAATCATCATTCTGTCTCCGAGTCAAGACCAACGAATTATCAAATAAAATAAATTAATATTAAACGAATTAAATCAAGTTGCTACTTCATATTTCGTTTATTTGTAATATAACGCTTTGGTATAAAGCTCTACATAAATTTTATAACATAACGAACGACATAGCAATTTAACGTGAAGATTGAAGACAAACTTGGCTGAAATAGTTTAGGGCCGGGGGTTGCCCATATGTGGTCTATACTATATATATGATACATATAGTGTTTTACAAATGGTGTATACGTCTGTGAAAAAATGCATGTCTTGCGGGAGGACTGAAGATTATTAAGGGACATTACAAGTCTCTGACCGTGAAATATACCGGGAGATTTATTTTCAGCGAATATGATCGATCATCACGCGACAGGCCTAAACTGGCTGCGGTACGTTTAGAATATATGAAAAGAGAAACCGGTAGGGGCCCTAAGTAATCTTTAGCCGCCTCTCGACTGATACCAAGACACATGCATTACACACATCTCTACTTTCTTTTATCTTTCTACGTATATATTTGAATATATATGTGTATGTATATATTCTCGTCTATATATACACACGTTATATTATACAAGAGACAGGAAGACGTATACGTAGATATATGATATATTCTCTGCGTTGTTGTGACCCGTGTGAAATCACATCCCAAAAGTTTTATACATATGTTTGTACGTACGTGTGCGCGAGCGTGTGCCCTGCACTTAAACCCCCCGTTCTCTCCATTCTATCAATTTCACTATCATTCTCTGTACCTTCTTTCTGCGTCTTTACTCGCTGTCTTCTATTAATCATCGTCGATCCTAATCGACGATACTTCATACATACTCTCTTCTCTCTATCTTTCTTCGCTCTCTTTTCTCTATCACGTGTCCGTCGCCCGAGTGGAGCTTGCGTGAATGTCTGACTCCATATGTTCGAGCCCCCGAGCTTCTGCGCCCATCATACCGATTTATATTATAAGGTCAACGAATCCAAGAAATACGTTTTTTTCAGAAGAATGAACTCGCGTGTTTAATTTCTGTCGATAAAGTATGGAACTTTTTCTCGGTGGATCTACGGCTAATCTTTTATTCCGTTTCTTTTCCTGCTCTCTTCTTCGCTCACCTGAGCGATACTTTCTTCCCAAGCTGATCAACTGTTTATCTACCTTCTTTCTCTAGCTTTCACTCGTTTCTCTCTTCAATCGTTGTTTAACTCTTCCACCTCTTCTCTTTCTCTACTCTCTTTCTCTCTATCTCTTCCGTCTACTTTTGCCTTTAATCACATCATTTTAACTCGGCTCTGTTTTATCCGTGCTGCCCGGTCAGTATGTTCTGGAATCACTTCAACACAAGGTAAGAAAGCCATTAAGTCGATCAAGAAATCAAAAAGAGAAAAACGTAAAAAAGAGTAATGAGAAAATAAGATTGAAAAAAAAAAAAGCAAAAAAGAAAGTTGTGAGTTCGTTCGTAGAAATGTAAGCGGTTTGAATAGAGCTGCTGATGCTGTTTGACGATATTTTCATGCATTTGGTATCATATTGTGCAACACATGATAACGTAATTATATAGAAAATATCCTGCATCCGAACGAGAGGTAGCACACACGCGTTACAATTTTATTTCGAGCGTTCTTCACGTTTCTTGCCAGCGCTCTTCTCGACTCCTTCGCGAGGGTTGCCGACAAACGGAAGAAGAACCTCCCTCGATGATTGTGACGCGCGGTGCAACTGACCGCAACAACAAAAGAAATCTCACGAAAAAAATTTTTAAAAAGTGAAACACTACAAGAACCCCCTTCGTTCCCCTTCTCATCATTGTTCGAATCTCTTTCTCGTTGCATGGTTTGGTTACCTTATTATTCCTACGTTGTCTTTCGTGCCTTTTAAGTTGAGCTTCTGACTTTGTGTTACTCGTGTATATGTGTATGTATATATTATATGTATTACTAGCAGCTCGACCGTCGACGCTTCTTCAGTGCCAACGAGGCATCGGATGGATCGCCGTTTCTCGTTTTGCCTCAGGTTTTAAGTGAAAAAAAATAAGAGATGAAAGTGTCTTTAGTGTATTAACGGAGGATAAAATGTTTCAGTTAAAAGTCTTTGCTTTCTTTCAAAACTGACTATTTTATTTCAGTCTTTCCGAAATTTAGGTGAAACGTTTATAGAAATTTCGGAATAAGTGTAGATGCGAAAATTAAGCCTTGCCTTTTAAGACTCGCTTATTTTTTTAATTCAACTTAACTTTCGTAGAATGATAAGAGATTATTTCCGTCTTTTCAAATTTTAAGTAAAAAATTGATAGAAAGTTTGCAATAAGTAAATAAGGAAGTAACTGAAAGAAACGCGTTTGAAGTAATTACGAATTTCCTAAATGGTAACGAGATGAATTGAACCTCCCAAATAATGAAGTTTAACAAGGACAGCACTGATCACTCGATAAAGAAATGGCAAAACTTCCAAGTATTCGTAGCAACCATTTTTCCTCTACTTAATCACCTCTTTAGCACTGAAAAGCAACGTTGACGAGACTCAAGTCGCGTTCAGTAAAACTGTTCCCGTGAATTCGAGAGTTTCGTGGTCCGTTAAGTACACGCACGGAGTACCACCAGTTAATTGAACGAAAAAGTACTGTCGCATCGAAAGAACCAAAAAAAAAAAAAAAACTCAGCCAACTTTGATCTTTGTCAAACTTCCTTCCTCGATCTTATCTCTCAACGTGACAGTAGATTTTCGTCCGGGAAGATTATTTACTTAAAACCACTGCAAGACAAAATACGAACGAAGAGTAACACTGTCGTAGATTGGACTTAGAATTAGATGATAGCAGTTGCTTTGTTGTTAGTGTGCCATGGTGCACAGTGGAAAAAAAGTAATCACGTTAGTTTGACACACGACCGACCTGACAGCCATTGGATTGTTAACGTTATTGTTTCCTGACAGCCGATCGGCCGTTGTACGTGGCCGCGTTGTCACGCATCTTGGCACCGGTCTGATGGGTGTGCGAGTCAGCACCAGCACACCCCTGGAAGGCTTCACCCTGACAAGAGACGACGGCTGGTTCGATCTCCTAGTGAACGGCGGTGGTGCAGTCACCCTGCAGTTTGGCAGATCGCCCTTCAAGCCGCAGAGCCACATAGTGTTCGTCCCTTGGAACGAGGTAGAATATCACGTTTAAAGAGTTTTCATTGCACGAACGAAAGATAGGAGAGAATAAGTAGAAAAGTATCTCTGCAATTCTCTCTTAATTTATATCGATGAAACTTTGGTATATTTGGTAGTACTGAAAAAAGTATTTCGCGCGTATTCTTTTTGTTTGTTGGCAATTGTCCACATCGAAGGGATGAAAATCACTGTCAAAGTTGGGGGTAGTAAACGTATCTGTCTTTTTATTTTTCAAATTTGACCTATTCTTCTATATCTAATAGGCTAAATACTAATTTAGCACCTTCAACTTTGAGGGTGATTTTCACCCCTTCAATGGGGACCATTATTGGTAAAAAAGAAATACGTGTCGAATTTTTCTTAGAATTACAAAATCAGTAATTATCACATCCGAATGTTCCCTTGTAAGTTAGAAGCACGTTTGATAGTTTGGTTGCACGGATATGACGAATGAACTTGAAGAAATGCAATAAGCAGAGTATTCTTTATTCTTCTTAAATAATTTGTAGCGATTAACACTGGAAGAACGTTCGCTTCTTTTTTTGAAAATTGCCTGTGGGTCACTTTTGACCCGGCCGGTCCTTCTAGCGTTAAATAAAGTATTAAGAGCGGAAGAAACGATATTATAGATAGTTTTGCTAACATGAAACAAGGTAGAATTGTATAAAATTGATAGAAAATTTCTATAACGATAGAATCACGTAGAATAGAATCATTTGACAATTTTTATTAGCTCCCAAAAGTACAAAATGGAAGTGTACATTTCCTTTCTCTTACTGTTATCAATTATCCTTCATCTATAAGAAATTCTACGAGTAAAAAGAAGTATTAATAAACCTACAGACGTAATCCCTTCCTAGATAATCTCGAGCCACGCTTACGGTCTAAAGTAACACGAATTCTAACGTAAACGTAAGAAACGTAAATTATATCCGAGATAAAGTTCAGTTTACAATTCTAAAATTAACTTTAACCTGGAGTTAAGAAAAGATCGAATACCGTTTCAAATAAATTTCACACACCGTATACCCAAACTTAACACTGTGTACGCAAGACTGAAACAACGTGTGTAAGAAAAATGTCCGTCTGTTCAAGGTCGTGATAATCGACAAGATCGTGATGAGCACTGCAGAGGAGAAGCAACCGAACCACGTCCCTCACGCTTGCGCTGCCCACGACTACGATCTGATGAAGCCTGTGGTTCTGGCGACGTGGAAGCACGGCTTCCAGGGAGCGTGCCCCGACAAGAGTACCATTCTGGCAGAGTCCCAGGTCGTACAAGAAAGCCTGCAAATACACGGCACAGGATTGAATCTCGTTTACCACAGCTCCCGTGCAGCCGGCTATCTATCCACGATACAGCTGCAATTGACTCCGGAAGTCATACCGGCGACCCTTAATCTAATCCACCTGAGAATTACGATCGAGGGTATTCTCTTCGAGAAAACGTTCGAGGCGGATCCAGTGATAAAATTCACGTACGCGTGGAACAGATTAAACGTATACAGGCAAAGAGTTTACGGTGTTACGACCGCTATGGTGAAAGTGGGATACGAGTATCGCGACTGCAAGGATATTATCTGGGACGTGCAGACGACGAAATTGAGCGGTCACGATATGTCGATCTCGGAAGTCGGCGGTTGGAACTTGGATATCCATCACAGATATAATTTCCACGAAGGTATACTGCAGAAAGGGGACGGTTCGAATATTTACTTGAAACAGAAACCGAGAGTTATTCTGACCACCATGGGAGACGGACATCCGAGGCCTTCGGATTGCTACGATTGCGACGGGCAAGCTTCCAAACAGAGACTACTTGCGCCAGTTGCTCTGGCCACTGCTCCGGATGGCTCCATCTTCGTCGGTGATTTCAATCTCGTGAGGAAGATACTCGTCGATGGCACTGTTAGGACTGTCGTTCGGCTCAAGTGAGTCCCTCGATGAATTTTGGCTTAATTAGTTTTAGTGGTGTATCGAAGGAAATATGCCATTGTTGTTTTTAAACTTCTATTATAAATTCGTATATGATTCAGTTTTACATGTACGTATACTATACCTAAATATTACTGTAGTACTTGTGTTATTTTTCACTATCTACTCACAAAAATATTTGTTTGTGCCTTTAACACGTTCCGTGTCGCGTGGGTCTTATACGCCCCATTCTGGACTTTCCGTTCAGGCTGTTTGACATTTCTGCCTTTTCTAAACTTAAACAGTGCAACTACGACTATAATTTGTTAAAACAAAAATTTGTCCTTTGCTCTATAGTGCGTCCTAAACGTTACCTTGTAATCTTATGAATATTAAGGGCGCATACGACCCACGTGGCGTGAACGAAAAGTCACCGAAAATCTTAACATCTGAAGAAAAATTCTTGAAAGATTTTTCAAAATCAAGTTTCACCATCACAACGTCATAATAAAAAATTTGAAAATAAAATAGAATTTTCTATACCATTAAATTTCAACCGATACATTTTCTTCCAGTGCAACAAGGGTCTCGTATCGCTACCACATAGCCCTCAGCCCGCTCGACGGCTCCCTCTACATCTCTGACTCAGAATCCCATCAAATAATCCGCGTGCGCGACACTAACGACTACGCCGATCCTGACCACAACTGGGAAACGGTGGTAGGATCTGGAGAACGGTGTCTGCCAGGTGACGAAGCTCACTGCGGCGACGGTGCCCTTGCCAGAGACGCTAAGCTCGCCTATCCTAAAGGTATAGCTGTGTCCGCCGACAACGTACTGTACTTCGCTGATGGAACGAACATCAGAATGGTCGATAGAGACGGTATCATCACCACCGTGATTGGCAACCACATGCACAAATCCCACTGGAAGCCTATCCCCTGCGAAGGCACGTTAAACGTGGAAGAAGTTCATCTTCGTTGGCCCACAGAGTTAGCCATCAATCCTCTGGACAACTCGTTGCACATGATCGACGATCACATGGTGCTTCAACTGGCTCCAGACGGTCGTGTCAAAGTGATTGCTGGACGTCCACTTCACTGTGCCTCGCCGTCCTCATCCTTCGATACAGAACTCGCCACTCACGCCACTTTGGTGATGCCTCAGAGCATCGCGTTCGGTCCATCTGGAAATCTGTACATCGCGGAGAGTGATTCGCAGAGAATTAATAGAGTGAGGGTGATTGGTACCGATGGCAAGATTTCTCCATACGCCGGAGCAGAGTCTAAATGCAACTGCTTGGAACGTGGTTGCGACTGCTTCGAAGCTGATCATTACCTCGCCTCCACTTCGAAATTCAACACCATATTCGCGGTAGCCGTGTCCCCCGATGGTATTGTTCACATCGGTGACCAGGCGAATTATAGGATCAGATCTGTGATGGCCAGCATTCCAGACGCTAGTGGTGCAAGGGAGTACGAGATTTATGCACCGGATACTCAGGAAATCTACGTGTTCAACAGATTCGGTCAACACGTTGCCACGAAGAACATCCTGACGGGTGAAGTTGTGTATCAATTCGCTTACAACGTTAATACTAGCAATGGAAAACTTAGCACGGTCACGGATGCAGCTGGTAACAAGGTGTTCCTGTTGAGAGATTACAGCAGCCAAGTGAACTTCATCGAGAACACCAAAGGACAGAAGTGTAGGCTCAGGATGTCCAGGATGAAGATGTTGCACGAATTGAGCACACCAGACAATTATAACGTAACATTCGACTATCACGGTCCCACTGGCTTGTTGAAGACCAAATTGGACAGCACAGGAAGGAGTTATGTTTACAATTACGATGAATTTGGCAGGCTTACCAGTGCAGTCACTCCAACTGGAAAGGTTATCAGCCTGATCTTTGATCTGAGCCCGAAAGGGGCGGTCGTGAAAGTGGGACAGAATAACAGGAAACCTATGTCGATGTTGATCGGAGGATCATCGGTGGTCAACAAGGTAGGAGAGGCTGAGCAAAGGACAACGGTTCTTCCTGATGGCTCTGTAGGCCAAGTCACACCGTGGGCACATACTGTCAGCACTGACACCTTGCCGTACTCTGTGTTAGCTGAGATCGAGCCACTGTTAGGAGAAAGCTACCCGGTGCCTGCTAAGCAGAGAACAGAAATCGCTGGAGACTTGGCAAATAGATTCGAATGGAGGTATTTCCTTCGAAAGCTGCAAGGCAACAAGAACAGAGGGAATTCGAAGTCTGTAGCACAAGTTGGCAGAAAGCTTCGTGTCAACGGGGACATTCTGCTGTCTCTTGAATACGACAGAGAAATTAATAGCGTGACAGTGTTTATGGACGATGTGGAGCTTTTGAATGTTACTTACGATAGAACAGCAAGGCCAATCAAATGGGGGCCCAGAAACGGTATCTTCGCTGGAGTAGAGCTGGAATATGATCGATTCAGTCGATTGACTAGCTGGACTTGGGGAGACATCAGCGAGACCTACGGGTTCGACAGAGCTGGTAGATTGGATCAAATAAAATACAGCGATGGTACGTCGATGGTGTACTTGTTCAAGGACATGTTCAGCAGTTTTCCATTGTCAGTGACCACGCCAAGAGGAAGTGATTACTTCTTGCAATACGACGAGGCTGGAGCGTTGCAGTCGTTGACTACTCCAAGAGGACACATTCACGCCTTCTCGTTGCAAACTTCTCTCGGATTTTACAAGTACCAGTACTATTCACCGATGAACAGGCATCCGTATGAAATTTTGTACAACGATGACGGACAAATTTTGGCCAAAGTGTATCCTCACCAGAGCGGCAAAGTTGCTTACGTCTACGACCATACTGGAAAATTGGAGACTACTCTTGCAGGTAAGTGATCTTCTTATCGAATCTTGAAAATTATCACAAATTTTCTTAATCTTTCGTTTTATTCCTCTAAAAACAGCCGATTACCATTTGAATTCTCTATACTTAACGTATACTATACGTCTTCAATTGTCACATTTTGCTTCTAAAATTTCAACAGCATTATTCTAGCATATCTTTAATCGAACCTGAAATTTGTCTGTGCAGGACTGTCTTCGATCCACTACACGTACCAAGAAACCACGAGCCTCGTCCACAGTATCGACATCAACGAGCCAAACTTCGAGATGCGTATTGAGTACAAGTACCACGCTGGAATTGTCAAAGACGAGAAGATCAAGTTTGGTAGCAAGAGTGGCTTGGACAATGCTCGTTATCGTTATCAGTACGATGGCAATGCTCGAATATCCGGCATTGAAGTGGACATTAACGGGAAACAGCTTCCTCAATTGCGGCTGAAATACAATCAGAACCTCGGTATACTGGAAGGTGTGGGAGATCTGAGGATATACAGAAACCTGTTCAACAGATCGGTTATGCAAGATAGCAGCAAACAATTCTTCACCGTAACAGACTATGACGAGCATGGTCGCGTTAAGACGGTTTTGATGAACATTCGATCGTTGGACGTGTTCCGTATGGAGTTAGAATACGACAACAGAAATCGTATAAAGATGAGGAAGCTGTCTATTGGAAAGGACGCGATGGAGAAGAAAGAATGGACCAAGATGGAGAAGATAACGTATAACGCTGATGGACACGTGCTAGAAGTAATGGACACTGAGAATAACTGGCAGTACGCTTACGATGAAAATGGTAACGTGATTAGTATTACGGAACACAACGAAAAGATCACGCTATGGTACGATAGTGGCGATCGTGTCGGTCAGTATGGTGACGTTGAGTTTAACTCTGATGGTCGAGGGTTCGTCGTGATTCGAGGAAAGCATAAATACAGGTTGGTATATTTTTTAATATGTTCTGCGTTGATTCTTAAGTTTGAATGCAAAGCGATAAAAATATTAAAATATCAAATTTGAATGAAAAATATAGAGTTTTAAATTAATCGAACTTTCATACAGCATATCAAAGAGTGTGTAACGATTGCCATAATTATTCTGCGGTCACTTCTATTTCAGAGTGTACGAAAATTTCTCTAATACTCTATTTCGATTTTACTTTGCACAGGTACAATTCGCGCGGTCAGCTGATCCACGCGTCAGAGCACAAGAAGTTCCAGATATGGTACTTCTACGACGACCGTGGCCGATTGGTAGCCTGGAACGACGACCGTGAAAACATCACTCAGTTCTTCTACGCGAACCCGAAGACACCAGATCTGATCACGCACGTTCACTTCCCGAAATCTGCAAAGACCTTCCGGTTCCTCTACGACTCTCACAACTTCCTCATGGCGGTAGAGACATCGGAGCAAAGGTTCTACGTGGCAACCGATCAAAATGGCTCTCCCCTGGCGCTGTTCGACACCAATGGAAACCTGATCAAGGAAATGAGACGTACGCCGTTCGGAAAAATCATCAAGGACACCAATCCAGACTTCTACCTGCCCATCGACTTCCACGGTGGTCTTCTCGATCCGAATACTAAACTAGTCTACCTAAGCAAGAGACTGTACGACCCGACAGTCGGCCAATGGATGACACCAGCGTGGGAGCAAATGGCGAACGGACTGACAATACCAACCGACATCTTCATTTATCGTTTCCGTAACAACGATCCGATTAACTTCAAGCAAAACGTCGAATACATGACCGATCTCGGAAGCTGGTTGAAACTGTACGGTTACGACATCTCCGCGATGCTCGGTTCGGAGTACATGAAGCAAATGGTGTACCAACCAAGTGCAACAATCACGTCACCTCAATTGACACCGGACTTTGGTGTAATGTCAGGTCTACAGTGCATAGTGAATCGTGTACACGAGAAATTCTCAGACCTAGGGTTCGTTCCCAAGCCTTTGTTAAAATTAGAACCAAAGACGAGGAATCTCCTTCCTCGGGTAGCTCATCGTCGCGCCGTCTTCGGAGAGGGCATCCTAGTGTCGCGTGTCGGTGGACGCGCGCTCGTCAGCGTGGTAGACGGTGTGAACAGCGTTGTACAGGACGTGGTGACGTCGGTGTTCAATAATTCCTACTTCCTGCCTCTCCACTTTAGTGTTCACGACCAGGATGTGTTCTATTTCGTGAAAGACAACGCCTTAAAGATACGCGACGACATGGAGGAGCTTCGTCGGCTGGGTGGCATGTTCAACGTGTCCACTCACGAAACAACGGAGCACGGGGCTGGTACGTGGAAGGAGCTGAGGTTACACAATCCAGACGCGGCGGTGGTGATTAAGTACGGGGCGGATCCTGAACAGGAAAGGCACAGAATATTAAAACACGCTCATAAGAGAGCAGTCGAGAGAGCCTGGGAGATCGAGAAGCAGCTGGTCGCAGCTGATTTCCAAGGCAGAGGGGACTGGTCCAAGGAGGAGAAGGACGAGTTGTTAAGTCGGGGAACAGTTAGTGGTTACGAGGGTGTGGACATTCACAGTGTACACAGATATCCACAGTTAGCCGACGATCCGGGCAACAACAGGCGTAACAGGATCCACAGGCACGACTCGTGATTCGAGGATGTGACACGGGATCGTAACGCTATCTGGGACTTGATTCACGCACCCACGTGAATCGTGCAACGGACAACAACATAAACAAACAAAACAAACAAACAAACAAAAAAGAAAACGAATAAAAAAAACAAAAACGTAAAGAACAATGAAGAGAGACAAGACTAACGTTCGTTCGATCGAGCCGGGTGCAAGAAGTTACGGCTCGTAACCGCGTGCCGTCTAAAAAACTACTCTAAATCCTCCCCGATCGTTCTCTCTGTTCTCTTCTCACCGCGCTCGTGCTTCGAGATTAGAAAGGGTGGAAACGAGGAATGGGAGATAAAAACGTGTCTTCTCGACGCGGTGCTGTCCGTTCGATTATTTTCGCGTAGCAGAAACCCCGCTCTCGGTGTGCCATAAATAGCGTTGCTTGTGATTCAACCGTGTTTGTTCGTGAACCGTTTCCTTTCGCTGACAGCACACGGTCGAAGATATCCGTACGACGACAGTAACGGGGTAGGAGAGAAAGGGGATGACACGAGGATCGTGATGTGTCGAAACATTTGAGCTAGTCACGTTGGAAAGAGAGAACGGGGGAAGAAAAAGAAGGAAGCAAGAGGAAGAAAAAAAAGGGGGGGGGGTGAAAGAAGCTTGTTACGTTAGTGATAAGTTTGTTCACGTAATCAAAGAGAGGATGATACACAGAGAGTTAACAGACGACGTGCTTTAGAGGTAGGAAATAAAACGAGAGAGTGCATGAACGTTCAAGGTGCCGTCCGTCAGTACGAAAGAAATTCGAGAAGAAAAGCAAAAGGGAGATGAAGGGAAAGTGACGAAAAAAAAAACGAGTGCGTGAAAGAGAGAGGAGAGAAAAAAAGTACTCTCGTGCTCGATTCAGAGTGATCGATCGATCCGGAGCTTGATGGTGTATTCATGCAACAGGGTCTAATGAGACGTGCACGTAGGCACAAAACGGGACGCTTCGAGGTCGACGTATCCCGGGCGTTTTCGTTCTTTAAAACACTAAACTTGGGGGTAAAATACTACGTATGCAGACGATTAATGCTTTCGCGTT